GTACTCTTGTGAGTAAGTGTATACTGTAGTAGTGTCTTCTTTTTTTTTTTTTTTTTAATCATAACAAGACTTTTTTAAATATTAGAATAAATTACATAGGATATTAATTTTAACAAAAACTATTTACATTTTACCAGCATGTGAATAGCAAATAATTTACATGTGGAACACTCCTCCACTCCTCTATATTTTACCTAGATGTACTGAGTATGTACATAATATAAAAACAAAGGAAAGCATGTTTCCCTTCCGTTTAGGAGACTTAGGTCCCATTCTTGACTCTGCCATTGATTCTGTGTGTGACATCAGGTAAATCATTTAGAGCCTGATTTTGCAGGCTGCTGAGCATCCTCCGTCTCCCCTAAAGTCAACATGAGTTGAGGATGCTCAGCAACTCTCAGCATATCTCTGTGCTTTGGTTTCCCTTTCTTTAATTTGTGGGTAACAATGCTTAACTACGTTTATCAAGTGATTTAAGCCCTACAGATGAAACGCACTTTCAGTGCTAAATATGATAATGATTAGAGGGCAAAAGCTAGAATATACGACAGCTAGTATGGAACTGATGCATTCTACTTCCTTTTTCCAATTGTGACGCCTGGAGTGAGAGTCCATCCCCAAGGCCAGAAGATAGGGTTGTCTCCAAAGTCAGCGACCTGAAGCTATTACTTTAAATTTATCCATACAAATGACAAGATATTGTATTCTTATTCTGTATACTATTTTACGACATTATATATTAAAAGGAGACTTGACAAGTTTAAATAACACTTATTTTTTCTGGTGCTGTCAATCGGGCACCTTTAGCTAGCCTTAATCCCTTCATTTTTTTTAAACAAAGAAAATGTTTTTTAAAGATTGAACTTTTAAACATTATTTGGGTGTCAAATTCTGTGTTTATTTTTTGAGTGAAGTTTCGGTTTTTGTGTGTGTCCTTTTTGCAGGAGCTCAATTATGAGGAAATGCAAACCATGAACTTGAGCGTTGTCGTTACAAATAAAGCAGCATTTCACAAATCAATTAGTAATAGTTACAAAGTAAAACCAATTCCAGTCACAATTAAGGTGAAAAATGTGCTAGAGGGCCCTGTATTCAAACCCAGCACAAAGGTGATTGAAACAAGTGAGACTATGACGATAAACCAGATTATTGGGAGATATCAAGCCTTTGATGAAGACACTTCAAAAGTAGCAGAACATATTACGTAAGCATCATATTTTTATTAATTAGCAACATTGACATTTATAGAATGTCACATTAAATCTTTGTATCAAACAAACACTAGGTTGAAATTATTTCATAGTCACGCTGTTTGATAGATGTGTCTAATTATTACAGTATAAATGAGATGGGTATTCTATAGGGTTTTATGTAGAATGTATGGGCTTTTTATTTTTTAAATAATTTGCTTTTGTGTTAGTTCATATGATAAGTGCATCTCCCTACAGAAACAATCTGTATTGACGTATCCATTTAGTAAATCTACAAATATATCAATGCATGAGACTTTTGGTTTCAGTCTGTGGACTGAGGTTTAGGATGAAACCTGTAGAAATCCCATGAAAATGGAGATACAGTGGTATAGAGCAAATATTCGACGTATGTGTGTGTGCGTGCAAAGCAGCTTCAACTCCCGTGGTTGTCTTGCTCATTATAATTTGATTTTTTTTTTAATTTCTAACAGATATGTCAAAAAAAATGATAAAGATAATTGGATCATGATAGATTCTACTACAGCTGAAATCAAGCTAATAAAAATACCTGATTATGAGTCCTCTTATGTAATTAATGGTACCTACACTGCCACCATTCTGGCCATAACTAATGGTAAGTTGTGAGGCATTAGGTTTCTTCATGTCATATGCATTCATAAGCCTTTCTTTACAAACTTTCTGTATTGCTGAGGCCTGAACCTAATGTTGCACTGCAAGAGAGCAGTCTTACCATCTGATCAATACCCATTTAGGGCTAAATATTACAGCCTTCTGTTGATGAGCACTCCTATCAAAATGAAAGCAAGTGCTCACCAACATAAGCTGTATAGTCTAATCCTTAACAGTGTAAAAGTCAGGTTCTCTAGCATAAGCAGGCAGGGCTCCTTTGGCTGCATTATCTATGTATATTATGGTCACTTCTTTGTTTAGTTTGAAGTCCTTATGCTCTCTGGAAGACGTTTTTGCTGTCATTTTTAAAACCACATATAAATATAAAAAGGTTTCTAAATTCTGTACGTTGTTTTATTTCAAAATTTTGATTGTTTCCTTTTTGTAGTTGTTTTGCAAGATGATTAGATTAAAGCGTAAGATTCCCACTCAACTCTGACCCCTGTATGCTAGGTAAAAGCTAGGAACAGCGAAAAGGAGCTCGGAAAGTCACAGCTCCAACTGGGGAGAATTCTCCTGGCACAAAAACTGCAGAAGACCCCCTTGCAAGTACTGGCCTGAGGTGACGGTGGGGCTACCGCCCATATCACTGTGAAGATTCTACACCTGTAGACAGCCAGGGACAGGTTGCCATAACACAGACAGTTCCCCAAGACTGTCTAAACTATGCTGGGGGCTGTTCTGGAAGGGGCTTAAAGCCAAATAACACTTCCTCCCTCTGGGCTGCAAGTTATGTGCTGTGCCTCTGAAAGGTGTGGTTAACCACAAATGATAGCATGATTGTAGCACAGGTAGGCCATACGTGCACCAGTTTTTAATCTAGTTAGCACAGATAACAATAGCAGTGAACATAGGGCAGTATGAACCCTGGCTCAGGCCAGCAACAGAAGTACCTAACCAGGCAGGCTTCTTTTTGGGAGACTAGCCCCTGCCAAAGCTCATGCCACCACATCCTCACTACCACTGTTACCTGTGCCCGCTAGATTAAAGATAGCGGAGGCATGCCTACTGGGCTGCATTCATACCTTCATTTGCGGTACAGACATATCCAAAGAGATGCCTCTCAGAATCTGACCTAAAGGCTTCCTTGACAGGGAAAAAATTTTAGTCTGGTTGGTTTTTGTTGTTGTTTTGGGATTTTTTGTTGTTGTGTGTTTGTTTTTAATCGGTCTCTTGATCCTAAACTCTTTTTGCTTAGGGACTATTACCCATTTATTGATAGGACTACATTGCAAGAAATGTTTGTGTCCAGAACAGGCTTAATTGAAATACTGCCTATCAAAATGGAAGTGTTGAAATCTCTCAGTAATATGAGTAGAAGATTTGAAAAATCTCAATAGTCCTATGCTGTTTGAATACAATGCAAAAAGAACTCTCAAATACATGGTCTTTCTCATTTGTTGTTTGTAATGGTACTTTTGAACTATAGTTTTGTTTTACTTAGTTTTTAAAATGTATTATATTTAGAAAGTATAATCTTGCAGATATTTCTGTAAATATTAAGAGTTAAATCCTGACCCCATTAAAATCAAAAGCAAAACTACTATTGACTTCAATAGAAGCAGGATCAGATCCTAAATTCATATTACTGCTTTTTATAATCCTGGAAAAAATATGAAATATTTTTTTTAAAGCAAAATTTTTTGCACACACAAGAATTTAAGCTTTCACGTTTATATTTGCAGATTATTCTAAGAAAACAGCCACTGGTACCATTGTAATTCAGGTTGTGGATGCCAATGATAATTGTCCAATCATTGTGACTCCAACACAGACTGTGTGTTCAGATGCAAAGTTCTTCAGTTTTACAGCTGAGGATCGAGATGCTTATCCAAATAGTGCTCCCTTCACTTTTACTGTCATTGATGAGCCTGAAGGGATGACAAAGAAATGGGTAATTGGAGAGACAAATGGTAAGAAAGTATCAATTTGACTTATAATAAACCTTTTAGTAAAATCTTTTTCTGTTCTTTGCAGTTCTGCATTTATGTCACATTTTGTTAACTCTGGTTAGATCAGAATTTTAGGGCTTGATCCAGCCAAAAAGGATGTGCACATCTGTGCCACACCAGGAGAAGCATCAAGAGTTTGAAGTTTGCCTCCTCCCCCTTTCATTTCTAATGGCCATAGAATACAGAATTATGTATTTTGGAGTTGAAGTGGTTCTGTGTAACCTGATCACCTGTATATTGTAATTGGGCTCTTGCGAATGATGTTGGGACTAAGACCCCTTCCCTCCCCCTGTCCCCACAGCATTCAGGTGACAGATGTTCCTTTCTGCGTGACTGAATTTGCAGCCATATAGCTGCAGTCAGCTGCAGGGCTCACATTCCTGAATGGCAGTTCAGTTCAGGAGCTGAGCTATGGAGAAATAGGAAACTGCCATGCACCCTGCACATCAACTAGATCCTTAATCAGTTGTCCAAGATACTCCAGTACTTTAGGGGGAGGAAGAGGACCCTCACAACGATGTCCATCCGGGTGGGGAGTCCTACTCTGCAAGAATATATTTGCAATATGAAGTTGTCTGTACTCGGATTTGGGTGAGGCAGGAGCTCCCCCATTCACAGTCTATTTTCTTTAACCACATCACAATGTGATGAGCAAGGCAGCCTCTCTCTGCACACTGCCACACCCAAATACCCGTGCAGGTACTTAGAAGAAGTGCTCCAAGTAAATCAAAGAGCTCTTTTGCTCAACTGCTGATCCTCCACTTCCTAGGCAGCTCTACAATTCACCACTACAGAGCTTTGCCCGAGGGCTGCCAGAGCAGAGTAACACCTCTCCAGAACAGATTAGCTTGCTTGCTGCCTAACTAGCATTTACAGTTGCTGTAGCCCAGATAGCGGCAGCTACATTGTTTTGGATGGTATGTTAAACATGTCCGTATTATCCAGAATCAGCCCCGCAGTGCCAAGCCCAAATAATACACGATCTCCATGAGGGCCTGACTGGGGAGAGATCCTCCAAGCACTTGTGCTCACATCTAATCAGGAAATGAGGGCGAATCCTTTGATTCCCGTACCCACTTCAAAAAATCAATGCACACAGACATGTTGCAGAGCTGTTCTTCATTATACCTATAGGGATACTCCTAGGAACCTGCTCCCACCTTCTCAGCACAATTGCAGTGTTTCCATTATGTCAGGATCCTTCTTACCTTCTGAAAGTGGGAGAGGACTAGACAACTGTAACTTGTTACAAAGACAAATGGTATTTTGTGGGGGTTCATACAGACAATTCAACTTTTAACCAGGCTTTTCCACAATCTATAGAAATTAGAAATAAACATTGATTATATTTTGCCAGAGTGTGAATTATATGATGAAAATAGCAATTGGTTGTGAATTAAAGTCAATTCTATTGCATTGGTAGAATTCTTTTTTGTTTTTCTTTAGTAAGAGACAGTGATTTCTAACTTTCTCTCTCTACCCAGTTCTTGTTTCACTGATTATGTTTTTCCTTTACCCTGATCTTGTCCCCACAAAGCAACAAGCATGCAGCTGTTACTACCACAAGATGTAAAGCCCAGCACAAATCAAGTTCAAATTTTAGTGAAAGATATGCTAGGCTTAAGCTGTCCTGAAAAGCAGATCCTTACACTGACAGTTTGTACGTGTGTGAATGGGCATTCCTGCCAGGACAGACAAATCGGCTCTTCAGTTGGGCTGGGAGCTGGAGCAATTGCACTAATTATCTTGGCAATTTTATTATTGCTACGTAAGTAACCATTTTATGTTATTTCTTAAGCACTGCATGTTCTATGCGATACAAAACACCAAAGAAGAAATGGTCCCTACCCCAAAGGGTTTATAATCTGAGTATACTTTGTGGGTGAAATCCTGAGTCCACTGGAGTCAATGGCACCATTCCCATTGACTTTCAGTGGGGCCAAGATTTCACCCTGGCAGTATTAGAACTAGTATGTGGCAACAGGAAACTGTTTCAGTCTTTCCAGTGGCTTTTAAACAAACAATTAACATTTGCTTATGATATACTAAAGGACAGATGATAAAGCACTGAGAAATCCTTTTGGTTTTTCTTAGGGCTCCTCTTCTGGTCCAATGAATCACCACCAGGCCCTTCCCATTCCCTTCAGATAATGTCACCAGGGCTGCCCTTCTCCACTATTTTGGCCCCTTTTCAAAGTGTCAACTCTGTTTCCTTACTCCAGTAACACAGCTGAAAACACTTGCTGACTGGGGTGGAATACTCTACTTTGGGAGTGGCAAGATGTTGTGTATATCAAGTCAGCTATTTATAGCAACAAAAAAAAAAAACCTGGAGGAGGTGGACTTAATGGTATTTATGGCTCAGTGTGGCAAGGTGGTGACTTTAGTGGGACTACTTATATGTACATAGTTAAGCAAATGCATGAGTATTTGCAGAATCAGAGCCATAGTACACATTCATTATCTATTGACCATAACTAAATAAACTCTGCATTATATTCCTGAATTTCTAGAAAACTTGCATCTACCCTGTGTGCATGTTCACATAGTCCAAATGTTTATTACCTAACTACAGACCGTTACCTAAACATGATTTGAGCTCTAGTTATCAGACATTTAATGATACATTGTGGTTCCCCTACAGTTGTGCCACTCTTATTGCTGTTTTGCCATTGGGGATCAGGTGCTAAAGGATTCACAGCAATACCTGACAGTAATGAAGAGATGTTACATAAATGGAACAGTGAAGGGGCAGCACCTGAAGACAAGGCAAGTGTACCTTAGCCCAATATCATCTTTGCTTTCTTTTAATTTAACTATTTCAGTTTCCCGCTTGGTGTCAGTTTTAGATGTGGGTTGAGATTTCAAAGCAGTGCAGGAGATTTAGCCACATGTTAACATTAATTACTTAAAAAAATTGTGTGGCTAAATTCCATACACCGCTCTAGAAATATCAACCGAAGTGTCTAAATTGCAAAGGAAAAGAAGAGTGAAATAATCAAGCAAATAGTGAGTCTCACAGTTCACGACAATTGCACCTGTATTTCCTCCTCGTGGTCTATCAGTGGCACCTGCTCTTGGGCTTCTGGCTCCCCATCCATCACGTCTCCTGGGTGGAGACCTGCGTCTCCCTCCCTCCTAAGGGTTTTTTTTCCCCAAGCTGCGTAGTTCCCTGCCTACACTGTGAGTTCTCCAGCAAGCCAGACTGTCTAACAGGCTATGACCAGTTGTAATGGCCCAGTTATAAGTTACCACAAGCTTTTCCTAAGCATGCACGTGTATTCTTAAGGTGAAAGCATTCCGGGTGCTTTTATTGTTTTTACTAATATGTTTACCAGAGTTCACCACCCCCTGTCCCCAACAACTCCAGTAGTAGCTCTGGTAAATGTCACTCCTTCAAACCCGTCCACAATGATTGGGCGCCCTCTCCCTCCTACCTAACCACCTTGGACAAAAGGTCATGTCTGTTTGCTGGATCAGAAAGAAGGCCCTGAGAGTCAGTGTAAACTCAGGTTATTTATTCAAAAGACCTTTGTTGTCCTTTGGAAAATCCAGTTTGAACCAGTATATGTGAGCCTTTGCAGATGTTGGTACTTCTAGGGAGGTGTTACAACCTGAGTGAATTTGCTGAATCATCCCTCCCTGTTCTTAATTCCTGGAAGAGCTGTGGTCATCCTATCCCATGGAATTGCATACAATCCTGGGCCCACAATGACACCTGTGGGGGATTTAAATTTATGTATTGCAGGAAATTGTCACATCTGCCATGGTGATACTATTTTTCTGAGTGGAAAGTGAGGAAGGGGAGTGTGGGAGAAATACTGGTGCGCCCAGTACCTGAACCACAAAAGAGTTAAATATTTGCATTCACTAGGGGAAGTGTCAATTCCAATCAGTGGGTGTATTAATTCAGCAGAAAAATGGTGTAATGGGAAGCTTCACAGCCTCTTAATTTAAAGTCTGAGGGCTGTATCCAAACTAAGTGCCCAGTGCTCCCTTTCAGTGAGGTATGGAGGAGAGCAAATATGATTTAACTAGATCAGAAATGGCTGCAAGGAGGAGAAACTGAGGAGAATAGTGAATACTTGGCATGCTGGCTGCCCCGCGAAGCCCCAGTGTGTCTACTGCATAAGGCTGAGGCTCAGGTGGGGTCTGTGGAGGACGGGTGAGTAATTACTAACATTAGCATCCTCTCTCCTGACTCTGGTGGAAGTGGAATCAGTGGGGCATTAGCTTTTCCTTAGCGACTGCATTCCCCTTGGAAAAGCTGCTGTTGAAAGAGAAAGTGGCAATATGGGCAAGCTGCCATGAGAGAGAAGAAGGGCAGGTAGCATCACAGAAGGGCCAGCAGACCCTGCAGAGGCTCTAGGATCTGAGGGTTTAAGGTGCGGCATGCGATCACGTGCCTTTCTCACTGAAAGGAGCATTTGGAAAAATTTTGCCAGGTGAACTCGCTGGAGTTTCCTGCTTTTTCTTACTTCTCCTCTCATTGGTTTTAACAGGGGATGATACAATGTTGCCCTAAAATGGATTTTTTGAGCATTTTCAGGGCACACTTTGCCCTTTGTAACAGCGCGTCTAACGCCAAATCAAACAATCATGCCAACCACCTCCCTCCTGGACTCCACTCAGCCCAACTGCTTAGAGAATTCCACGTGCAGCACAGAGCACATTTCATGTTGTATTTTAATTATTGTTTTAGGCAGTGCTAACCCTCATCGCTCCCACTGCATTGGACAACTCAGCAGGAAATATGCGTAGTGGAGCAGCAGCAGCGATTGGTGCAGAGGCAGTTGGTATAGGAGGAGGCAGTTCTCGATCCCATATTGAAGAACGCTATGGTAATGCTAACATGAGCAATGGGAGATGGGAAGAACAAAGACATCTTTTTTCTGGTGCAAAATATGGAGCCATGGCAGCTGGCGGGGCCATGGCAGCTGGCGGGGCCATGGCAGCTGGCGGGGCCATGGCAGCTGGCGGGGCCACGGCAGTTGGGGAGGCCATGGCAGCTGGCGGGGCCATGGCAGTTGGGGAGGCCATGGCAGCTGGCAGGGCCACGGCAGCTGGGGAGGCCATGGCAGCCGGCGGGGCCATGACAATGGGAGCTGGACGGACCATGACGATAGGAGCTGGACGGACCATGATGATAGGAGCTGGACGGACCATGACTACGGGAGCTGAAGTGGGCATAGATGAAGAATTTTTGAGAGACTACTTCAATGAGGTAAGAATCCTGCTTGAGAATATCAATATATTAATGTTATTTTTTTGAAGTAAGTAAATCTTGTGGAAACAAGTTGTTAAAGGCCATTAATTCTATTTCAAACCTAAAAATATTTTATCAGGATTGTTTGATATGCATTTTGTTTTAAAAGACGATTAGTCTTCACAATCTGCCATGTTTTCCTTAGGCCCAATCCGGCAAAAGACATAACCATGTGCCTAGCTTTATTTTGGCTTCAATAGGATGATTGCCATGAGTAAAGTTACACACATTAAGTCTTCGCAGGATCGGGGCTTTAGTGTTACACAAATGCTACACATTTAAAACAGAATGCACTGTTTCCCAGTTCCAGCTATTACACCTTGTATAAACTGAATGATTTGAATACATCATAGAAATTATTGATGAAAAGCATCAATTAAGTTTTCTAGCTCATCTCCAAAAGAATTAAGGGATACATTTTTGGGGAGATGAGGGAAGGAAGAGCATAAATGGACACCAGTGTAATAATAGTGATTTGCTCCAAAAAAGTGACACATTTTTAAGGGCACTGAAAATTTTAAATCACTCTCTAGTGAGTGCAAACTGGTTTTAGCTACGGTCTCTGAATCTTGCTGATCATTTTAGGGGATTTAGTCAAATTTTCCCATTTGCTTTACATTTTTTCCTCCACACGATCAATTGCTCTGTGAAATATTCACTTACAAAGAGGAATCAGCAAACTGACTGTCACCAACTGCTGCCATCTACACAAACTGAAAGAAATCTTCTTTTCTTCGGTTATAGTATGTTGAGGGTAAGTCTGTACTACAAGATAGGGCTATGATTCCCCTGCTCATGCACACATACTTGTACTAGCTCTCCCCAAGGTAGGATGAAAATAAATAGCAGTGTAGCCAGGGTTGTATGGGTAGCAGCAATGGAGGCAAGTATAAACCCACCAGTTTCAGGTGGGTTTGTAATCAGTACAGCTTGTGACTCTGCTGTCACTACCTGTGCTACCATGGCTACACTGCGATTTATACTCCTCCTAGAACACTGAGAGCTAGTGCAAATACATGTATGTTAGCAGGGCAGTCACACCCCAGCCCATAGTTTAGACGTGGCCTTAGATGTTACTTATAACAATAGTGAGTAAAAATGTTCCAACAAAAATGCAGTTGTTTTTTAAAAGTTGGTAAATGACTCTTTAAAGTTTTGAAACAACATTTGTTAAACAGTTTTTGTTTGCTTTTGTTTCCTTTATTTTAGAAAGCTGCCACTTTTGCTGATGAAGATGAAGCTCAACTAGCAAAAGACTGTCTCTTGCTTTACTGTCAGGAAGAAGCAGGCTCCTCACATGGTTCCATTGGCTGCTGCAGCTTTATTGAAGATGACTTGGATGACCGTTTTCTAGATGATTTAGGAGATAAATTTAAGACCCTAGCAGAGATCTGTCTGGGCAAACATGCAGAAGTGGAAACCAGCCAGCATAGTTCTCATGGGCTGCAGGCTAGTTACACAACTCTGGCTGAGGTTTCAGGGATGCAAAGCATAAGCGGGCAGACCACCATTTCTGGACCTGGAAGGCAGGAGCGTATACTAATCACAGACCCCCTCTTTAACCAAACAGGCTTAGGTTTGGAGGAGTCTTCTACCATAAGTAAGTCTTCAAACGTCACAAAATACAGCACTGTGCAGTATACTCGCTCATAAAATATATATCCCTCAGACAGCTCTGTTAGGCATCATTTATATCTCTACCAGCAACACTGGCAACTTTTTAGTATCTCAAGATCTCCATTTTCTTGTGCTTTTAAAAATAGACTGCATTTTCTTACAGTAGTTTCTTTAAATAAGAAATATGACCAGGGAAAAAAGCAGCTGACTTTACAGTGTTTTATAGCAATGCTTTCAAGGTGGACAATTAATAGGAATAATGTTTCCTTGTTTTTTTCCTTCTACTACTGTATAATTTATCACATGTAAGATAACGCTGGTGAAGGCTAAACCCATCACCCACATGCAGAGAATGATATAATTCGAAAGCCAGAAAAGTCTTGAAAAAAATTGTAATGACCAACTAAAAATGTTGTTAAACTAAATTTCTATGAACTGTTTGTCTCCTATGTTCTAAAGTGTCTTGCAGGCACTCTGGAACTTAGTCATCAATTTCATTCCCTCTCATCTAAAAGGGCCAGAAACAACTTTTCTCCACGGAGATGGGGGCTGTCTGTATATGCAATATCCCAGGCTCCAGCAGATTTACAAATGGAAGAATTTGTCAGAATTTCAGAAATAATTTGAGTCAGATAATGATCTCTAGCTGTGAGGTGCACACTGCCTCAGAGCTAGGAAAACCTGTTCCTGGGAATTCACCCCAAAGAGCAGTAGGTTTGCCGGTGTTCGACACATGTTCACCTCACATAGGAGGACCAGAACTTTCGACTTCTAATCTGAATTTTGATTTCTGCCCCATCTTTCCATTACATAGTTACCTTTTTAAGGAACATTTTAATACCATGGCCTTAAAAATAACTAAACTTGAAAAAGATAAAACTGTTTAACATGTTACCTTGAAAAACTAATTTCCATTGGGTAGGGATGATGTCCTTAGCCTCTGTTTGCCAGAAGCTGGGAATGGGTGACGGGATGGATCACTTGAAGATTACCTGTTCTGTTCATTCGCTCTGGGGCACCTGGCATTGGCCACTGTTGGAAGACAGGATACTGAGTTAGATGGTCCTTTGGTCTGACCCAGTATGGCCATTCACAGAGAAGAGATAAGAACATAAGAATTTTGCTTATAGTTATGGTTTAATGCTTACATAATACAATTAAAAGGAAATTTTCCTTGCATGATTCCAGTCCAGGCACCAAGAAAAATGTGCCTTTATATATGAGAATTTGTGTTGCAATATTTCCTCAAGACTCCTAAATAATTTGCGGATCTTGTCTGTGAAGATCTCTCTCTTTCCACACTGTGCCAAAATAAATGTGCCACCCCGTAAGCCAATATAAAAGTAAAATAGAGAGGCACGGTCCTGCTGGGAAGCCAAGCAGCCAAAACTACTTGTTACGTTCCCAGAAATGCTGCTTATGGAACTCGCAGGAGTGATAGCCAGAAGCTGTGAAATCAGTATTTCCTGTAATTCAAAGCAATGCTTGCACCTTGGCACATAGTTTGGAGAGTAAGTAGAAGACAGCTGAGCTGTCTGCAGACCATTGAATACTGAAGAAAGTCAGTTACTTTTTGACATATTGCACCAGCTTTGATGTAATGCACATAAGCATTTTAATCTTCCATATTTTTGCTTACTTCTATTGGTCATTAAATAACACATGAAACAAACATAGCTCTCCCTCGTCTTTCCACCACTGTGAGCATAGATGTAGGGCCAGAGATTCAGGCATATTTGAGATCACTTAGACATCTATAGGACCTGATTTGCAGATACAATCAGGTAAGTGACCTAAAGCCTGTTGTAAAATTGCAGTCACAAAACTGGAGGTGCAGGTTAAAATTTGACATCAAGAGTCAGATCCTATTTCCACTGAAGTCAATGCTAAAATTCCTGCTGACTTTACTGCTTCATGCCTGGGGCCTTGCTTATATTTGGTGAGAAATGAGGGAGCTCACTACAGTTTGTACAGAACTTTCAGTTAGTCATTTCATTTTTTTTCTTGATATTTAAATGTGGGGAAAAAGGGAAACTCATTTACTCAGAAAAAGGAGGGGAAAGTAATGTAGTATGTATATATCTGAATGTAAATTTTTATTTTTATGAAATTTGGGAAAACCCAAGTGAATTTTGTTTAAAATCTAAGCTGGAAGGTGCTATGAATAGGAGAAGCCACCTTAATGCTTTTTGGAACAGATATGACACAGTAAAAATATTACAAGCGTTGTTAATTACCGTTTAATTTTGCACATGAAAGATATGGGACTGGTTAAGTGAAGCAGATGTATAAGTATGTGAAGAACTGGGGCCTTCGATTGCAGAGACAGAACTTCAGTGGTTCTGATTATTACTTTCAGTTTCATTTCAGTTTCCATTTCTATCAAATTTTCATCCAATTGCATTGCTGTGTATTGCCATATTATTTTCTGCCTGAATTTTTTTTAAACAAAGATATATTTGAAACAGGGAAAAGTGTGTAGAAAGCAATTTAAAACAGAAACTTGTATTATATTTAAATAGGAGAAATATGAAAATGAGAACTATAGTCTTTGTTCATCACGGGGTAGGTAAGCACTTGCTAATTTAAGCACATGAGTAGTTCCATATAAGTCAGTGAAAATACTCATGTGCTTAAATTTGGCACAGGCTTAAGCACCTTGCTGAACTGGGATCTATATCTCTGGTTTTAGTTTTTAATGTATATGGCATAAACTTGTATTTCATTCCAAGCATGAATTTTGAATGGATAACTGCTCTTTTTTCCTACAAGTAGAGGAAATGGATTTATGCTGGTTTTATATGTGACCTTTTTTAGGGTGACTTCTATATTTTTATGGAACTTCAAATAAAGGAAGATGCTGATATTGTCTTTTTCATTATTTATTTAGTTTAAAATACAGCCACTCAAAACAAAAATAGTGACTTTCTATTAACCTGTTTTTTTAAAATTCCTTCAGTTTATAGTAATGAACGCTGGGTTTTTCAAAGGTGAAAAGTGGCCAGTGCCCAAGTCTCAATGAAACTCAACAGGAGCTGCGTCTCCTACACACATGCTTTTGAAAATCTCACTCTACCTAGTTGTTGATAATATTACTTAGCACTGATCTAGAGCCCGCTGAAGGCACCCGAATGCTGCATATTGACTTTCATGGGGTTTGGCTCACAGCCATATAGGAGTTTTACATTTTCAGCACACTTTACAAACATTAACTTTTCATCACAACACCTGCTGAACTGGGCATTATCTTCCAAATTAAGGCACAAAGACTTGAAGTAACAGGATGATAACACAGAAGATCCTGATGCCGTATGTGTGTGTATGTGTATGTGTGTATATATAATATTCTGAATTGCAGTTTGTCAACAATCATTGTACAGGATCTTGTGACGAATGCTGTGAATAGCTCATTTACTTTTAATTTAAAAATCAACTTGTTTCTCACATTGGTTTAGGCAATCAGAAATTAGGGATTAAAAAGGACTGCTGATATAACTAACTTCCAGAAGTTCACAATCACAACATCTAACCAAAAATTCTATTCTTTTTTTTTTCAGAGTTCTATGGGTAATTATTAACTTACTCCATTTTTTGCTTAAAGTTTATTGACTACATAACAAATGCACACATGTCTGAAGTGCAGAAAAGCAGAGCTAATTGGTATTGAAAGACTGGTGGTTCACAAATTGAATCAAAGTTCTATATAATCAAATAAAGATATTTGCCATTTCTATATTGCATTTCATCCAAGGCTCTCTCATTCACAAAGAAGTTCAGAGAGTTTTTCCAGTAATTACCTTCAGTACAGAGTATGTGATTTGCCTACCACTTCTGCTACTCTTTTTGAACGAGAGACATTTTAGCCAATATTTTATATAATCTCTGCAAACTCTATTGCAAGCAGAATATCTACTAGATTTGACATTTTGATTCTGATAGATCTTTGTGTATCTGATTATACTGTGGGAAGAATTTACAAATTTAGATGAATGGAAACATATGGTCAGTGTTCAGCCACTTGTTAACTCTGTATCTGGGACCACATACGCATGTATCTTCATTCAAGATCCCTCATTCTGTCTTTAAAGATAATACAAGATCTCTAATTTTGTTATCTAAAACTAACCAGATAGTCTTCAGAACACAATTATATTGATGAAATATCAGTGGCAGGAACTGTAATCCAAATTATTGTTCAATGATTTAGTTTTCTGGCCAGTATTGACGAAGCACATCATATTTCACAAATGTAACAGGAAATCTACTCTAATACAGCAAATTAGCCGTGTGCGCTTAGCAATGCAAGAAGCTTGAATATACTGTGTTCAGATGGCAGACATCTTTAAGTAACCCTGTGTTCAAAGAGAGCTCACACTTAACACGTCAGGAGCTGACATCTTTCCTCCTCAAATGTCCTTTATTTATCAATACTGGGGTGTCTATTCTAGTCCTTGTTTTTTAGACTCACAACTTTGGTGTCATTCTCAATAGCTCTCTTATCCACACTGCTGTCTTTTTCTTCCACAGTACTGACATTGTCACTAAATCCTTCTGGTTATCCCTGTCCAACATCTCCACAATCTGTCCCTTTTTCTGTTTCCATTGCAAAAACTCAGGCTACATCTACACTACGGGGGGGGTGGGGTGTCGATTTAAGATACGCAAATTCAGCTACGTGAATAGTGTAGCTGAATTCGACGTATCGCAGCCGACTTACCCCGCTGTGAGGACGGCGGCAAAATCGACCTCTGCGGCTCCCCGTCGACGGCGCTTACTCCCACCTCCGCTGGTGGAGTAAGAGCGTCGATTCGGGGATCGATTGTCGCGTCCCAACGGGACGTGATAAATCGATCCCCGAGAGGTCGATTTCTACCTGCCGATTCAGGCGGGTAGTGTAGACCCAGCCTCAGATCCAGGCCCTGTTTATTTCTCTTGTTGGCTACTACAACCTACTCACTCTGATCTTGTTGCCTTCCTTCTTCAAGCCATTCAAAATAGAGCTGCAAAAATCAACTGCTTCACCTGCTTCTATGACTGGAAGATCATCCTATCCTGCCCCCTTTCAAGTACCTCTTCTGGCTTAGTTACCCTCATTAAATTTGGACTCCTTTGGTGAAATCTGGGCCCCACTGAAGTCAATGGCAAAACTGCCATTGCCTTTAATAGGGCCGGGATTTTATCCCTTGACCTCACCATTAAAGCGCTACACACATCTTGACATTAAGGTACTATAGTAATGGCAGAGGGTGAGGGGGTGTATAAGTATACATATTTGCTAACTGTTTGTGTTCAATATATGTGATGCAGGATTTTTGAACAGTTATCTCTTGATCTATAGTACAGTTAGTGAAGCCCAAAATTCCATTTTGCTGTGTGTGTGTGTGTGTGTATCTACATATAGTCGTCCTAATTGTTTTAGCATTTTTTCTTTAATTATTGGAACAAATGTGTAGTATAATTTTATTATCCTTTAAATCAATTATCTCATTTTAAAATATATATGTTGCTTGAAACTTGCAGGAAAAAGCTTCTTCATACGAATGGTAGGGTGGCACTAGACTGTACTACAATAGGCAGTGTATGATTTGGAAAAAGTAGCTGAGAAATAGATATTTTCTTGTGCAGTGTGCTCTCTTGGCCTTTTATAATCCCCATAATTTAGCTGTGACATAGTATTTAATCAGTCCCTCTTTTTATTTATTTATTTATTTATTTTAAAGAATCTATTATCTTGAGTAAACGAAACCCAAAGTTAAGCTATGAAATATCCTGGAGGTGAAGCAATTGAAAGAACTGATTCCTTGGTTAATTATTCATAAAAGGTGTTTGGACCATGGATGAAGTTTAAACTCTCTGGGAGTAATAGAATGTTAGAGGACATTCTATGTCTACTTAAAGGGCCCTTATCACTGTTGTATTTGAGCACCTCACCAACATTAAATGAATTCATCCTTACTCCCCTCCTTTGAAGTAGGAAAGTATTATTAACCTCCATTGACCGATATTTTACATTGGTACCTCTCAGCAAGTATTGCCAACTATTTTTTAACCATTTCATCCAAAGTTTTAATGAAAAGTAAAATTAGATCTACAAAACACACTGAGGGTATGTCTACACTACGAGAGTAGTTCGATTTTACTTAAATCGAATTTTTTGAATCGATATTGCAAAGTCGAACGCGTGTGT